TTGGCATAAGCCATGTAAAACTTTGATTAATCACATAACTCCCAGCATTATCTTCCCTCAATATTTTTGCTCAGACAGGCTTTGACATTGATGATATTTACCAATGGCAAGCAGAGCATCTCAACGAGAACCAAGTATTTTCAACAATATGCTGCTAAAATAAAACAACTACTGTCTAACAAGCAGGTGGCAATTAGTTGGTAAATTAATGAATTCAGACGCACACAACAAATGATCTGCCGAAGTAGAAGCACAGTAACTTAGTAATGAAGATAGTAAAGTAAATCTTCAGAATTCACATGCAATTGTACCTCTGCCAGCAGGCGTGCAGCTCCTAAAATCCGCTCCAGAAAATTATATTTTCCACTGTTGCATTTTCTCCTTTTTAAACTATCATGGAACAGTAAGCCAAAAAAAAATTATAAACTTCATTATTCACAAAAATTTCGTAACAAAATATTCAAATGAATGCTATTACATCATATTTTCAGATGATCTCACGAATTAAGAATTTGAAAAAAATTCCAATCTTTCCCTCCCACATCAGATTAAATTAAGAAGTCAAAAGCAAATAAACTTGGATTTAAGGGAAATAATTAAACAACCACCCCAGTTGATTTGCTTGTTACTACCCAATAAAAAGGCATGCTGATCAGTTTAATTTTGAGAAAGTGGGAGAAAAATTTTTCCAAGAACTATTTGAAATACATTCTTACATAAAATAGAATTTATTGAGGAAAAGAAAAATATTTAAAATATGAGGACCAGACCCCCAACGTCTTTAACATACTCATATTGCCATATGAACAGAACTACCCTTGGTTTTAGCACTAATCTGAATGTGTTTATATTGGAAAATTCGATTATGTGCTAAAGTTAGCCTTCAAATCAGTCTATAACCACACTCATTTTATGATTATGCAAAGTTAGACATCCTTTCACAATTAAAGGGTAAATTCCAATTAAATGAATTAAAACACAATTACCATTAGGCACACAGAGATCAATATATAAGTTTGTTGTACCTCTCTAAAAGATGAGCCTTCTGTTTAGGTCTGTCTCCTTTGATAACAAGGAGGCACGATATGACAAGGTCCTCCAAGTTCACAGATCGTAGAAGCCGCAAATCCCTCTCTACCTAATTTGCACGTTGCATATATGTAAATACAAGTGCGAACAGTCATAATTTAATGGTGATGCGAATGCTGTTAAAATTGACAAATGAGAAAAGATTGCACAAAATCATTTGATCAGATGCACAATTTTATATCATTAACAGAAGCCCTTTTACATTCTTCATCTTGTGAAACCAATTTGTTGAACCAGGAATGGACCCCGCTTTTTGATAAAGGTTGACCAAGAATGAAGAAAATCAGAGGGAAGTAAGAAAACACATCTTTTACCTTCAAAAGATACTTGAAATAAGAACAACGCCTATGCTGGTTCTTGTTCTTGTACACCATTCTTTCAAGTACGCCGTACTCTGCTTGAAGTTGACCAAACAAAGATGTAAATCTTCTCTCAATAGTTTCAACTTCGGAATCCATTAAATGTCAGCGCTAATACGCCAAAAAAGCCAGCTCTGCAATATTTTTAAGGAATGTTTTACTGATGAGAGTGGAAAATCAGAAAACTTCACAAAAGAACACTATAAAGAAAATCAGAAAGCAGAAACCAACAGGAAATCACAAAGCAGAAAACTCACGCGAGAAAATTAGAAACACCAAACCCGCGGTTTCACTGATAGGGGCGTATATATAAAATTCATATAAGTTTCACTGATAATTACATATGAGTCTCATATTATTCCCTGACTTAATTGGAAAATAAGGCAGGAAAGGCAGAACCGAGAACCTCTCAGAGAATACAGACTTTCACTTATAAGAGCATAAGCCTAAGTTCCATTGCAAGTACTGATATAGTTGGCTCAAGACATTACATTCACAATGTAATTGACTATTGGAACCCAAATCCAACGATTCCAAGCTTGTGTGAGCTTCGACAAATTATCCAGCAAATCACCGAAGAAATCATTGAATGAAAGAACTAGCTTATTCAAGCTGCTCATGTCCACGAAAATTTCAATCCGTAACTCACTGGAAAACTTGTTTTCAGATAATAACAAACAATTCCAGCGAAGAACAGGCGCTCAAACAGCGCGGAATCGTACCGGAGAGGGAGTTCAAGGAAAGATCGAGCTCGACGAGAGTGGTGCACAAATATGCCAGTCCTTCCGGAATCTGTGGAACTTGTTGCAGCAAGATAAAGGAACTGCAGAGTGTCCAGAGTAAGTGACAGAACCGGACTAGAGAACTTGAGGTGGCTGAGCTTGTAGCAGGAAGAGAAACGAGGCCAATGTTGACGAAATCTCAGCTAGCAGGGATGCCGAGGTTTTCCCAACGCCAAACATTCACCGAACGAAGGAATAGCGACAGAAAATTTAGCGCCAAATAGGTTTGATACTTCGGGGAAAAAAAAATATAAAGTTTATTTATCTTAATTATTATATTTATTCATTATTTTAAATATAAACTAAGAATTTATATAATATAACTTTCCTCAAATGGGTCCTAATATTAATTTAATTTAATAATACGATCCAAGCAGGAATATCTTCTTACATATGATAATAATATGGTTAGTTATTGATACTTAAAATAAGTTACATTATTCAATATTTTTTAATAATACAATACATGAAAAGTAACTATATTACATTTATTATTCTTGAAAAGCAATCAATTATTCATTGAGAAAATTCCTTTAAAAAGCAGTTAAGTTACCTAAATTACATCTTGAGTAGTTTCGTTAATGACCATATGACTCAAACTGGAATTTAAAAATTTGCCAACTCACCCCAATATCCTAAGAAAAAGTAAGACTGACAATAGTTTGCTACCACAAATGGAAACTGGTAATTGAAAATAAGAGCTTATCAAACGCAAAATCTAACATTTCAATTTCTAATGTTGTTTTTGTACTCAGAGAAATTTATTGCAAAAATTTTGTTCCGAATAGCAACTTATGCATTGCAAATTGCAAAAAATTTGACAGAAAAATATCGCACATACTTTATTTTCCCTTCCATCCGTTTCATCTTTGCTTGCCAAGTCTTCAAATTCGTCCATTATCCAATTAATGAAGAATTATATGTCTTCATTTTAATATAGTTAAAATCGATTGTATTTTGCAACTCCACACAGTAAATCCATGGCAACAATTCAATAGCAGTCATCTCAGTAGAGCCAACAAAGCGAGGAAATTAGTCAATTACTCAAAAGAATACTGTAATGAATAATATTACATTGAGTGATCAAATATATGATGCCTAGATTACAAAATTGAGTAGAGAAGATTCTCGCTGACATGATAAGAGTAAATAGATATTTGCAGTTCCATCCACCAAGTCCCACACCGGTTATATTCACTGTTTCCCACATAAGTCTGCACGACTGTCACTATGCTCCCCACAAACACAAGCAACAACTGGGTAACACAGCCTCATCGATCAGCTCCAATGGCGGAACATGAGAACGGCATAAGGATATTCTTAAGTGTCAATATTCCCCCAAGCCAACAATGAGCTCAAGCACTGGCCTTTTGAGGTGATGTATACATTTGATCAAAATTCACTATTGTCCTGACAAACTACCTGCGCTTATACCTGAAAAGTAATAGAACCCAAAAAAAACTAAGGACTTGTTTGATTTTATTCTCTTTTTTTATATTCTTAAAATGATTCTGTAGAGAAATTTTTTTAAAACACGTTTTGGAAACAAAATATTATTAAAAAACACGTTTTATTAGCATGATTGTCACTAATGAAAATACAATGTTTTCTGCCTCTTCTCTAATTTTGTAGAACAAGAAGTATCACAACATCAAAAAGGTGTTCTGTTTTTTCCCGCAGAACAACTTTTAATTCTTTTGTTTTTCAAAACATGTAACCAAAAACACACTTTCAAACAAGTTTTTCTTTAAAAAAAAAAAGGAAATCAAGCAGGCTCTAAATTTTTCTTCTCTCACTGTCAAAGATCCAAATCTCTACATTCATACAAGTGATTGCATATACATAGCATATAAGAAAAATAAAGAGAAAAGAGATTATGAATATAACAGCTATATACTATAAGATTCATCAAGAGAAACAGGTAAAGAGTACTACATACCTTGACTTGCTCTTGAATGAACTTTTGGATTTCTTCCCTGGTCCACCAACTCTTTTTTGTTTTTTCTCACTCATGTCAGTTTGGAAAAGCTCCCGCATTTCCTCTGTCCTTGAAGGAGTCTTTCGTGAAGAATTATTCGATTTCTTCTTACCCTTCTTCACAATTTTGCCAGCATCCATAGCCTTCTTCACTGCTTTAACTGCTTTTGCTCGTCGGTATGCCACATCAACAAGTGACATTCCAGTCTTCTCTTTCTTATTTTTCTCATTAGCCTGCACATTTATGTATTTGAGTATGATGGAAAATATGACTAAAGAGCCCACATATTGATGACACGAGGGCTTCAAGTCACCAATTCAGTAACTAGGTCAATGATCAAATTGGTTATTTTTGTGTAACATATCAATATATGCATTTCTATTATATGGCTATATTTACACACACATAAGATCCTCGTTATAATCACATCAACAAATTTACTAATGAAAGTTATCATAATAAAAGTCAACTAGACAATTCTTTATTGCAGAAGACAAATGGAAAATGATAGGACTACATACTTCTGGCTTCTCAAAATGACCTTCATCCTCCAACATCTCTCTAGCAGCTTCCAATTTTCTGCGCTTCTTCCTGGGCAAATTTTTCTAGACCAAAAGTGATTGAATAAGTACAAAACTATGCATGAAAGAAATGCGAGTGCACAAGTACTGTATGTAGGCGTAAAATCAAATATAAATCAGTATCAGTAATCAGTAAATACAAATAAAATGGGAACACTGCTTACTTCTCGCTCTCGCTTCCTCTTTTCCTTCATTCTTAGGGCTTCGGCTTGTTCAGCACTAATTACTTCCTTCCCAGAGCTCTTTTCCTTTTCGTTAGGCTTCTGTTGAACAGGGCATTAGAATTATTAGCACAGAGCCATATTTTTCAAGAGGAGAAATTGAACTCAACCTCAGTCCTTAATTATTTATTTCTAATAGCATGTGACTTCACTGCAAAAGTTTGCAAGCTATATTAGGAAACAGACAACCTTTTTAATATATCCTGAAATAAAAGTATCAAAAAACTGAAATAACACTAAATACAGATAGTCATTGAAAAAAAAAAAGAAAAAGAAAAAAGAAAAACAGCCAGAATAACATGAATGAGAAAGTCCTAATGCACTCCTCTTCACACAATTTAAGATCTTTCTCCTGGGATTATCCCACCTCACTCCCACCCGCTTCTTCCTTTTGGTTTAGGTTGACAGATGACGATTATTTAAAACAATATATAATGTTTCAAGCGTTCATGATAACTATCCTAGGCTCAACATGAATTCTTTAATATTCCAAAATGTAGGGAAATCACCATAAATTTGTTCAAACGAATAAGAACCATATCTGAGGCATGCAACAAAATCTTACCTTGGCTGCTTTTGCAGCAAGCTTCTTCTCCTGCCCCGTCATAAACCATGTTCTTTTGGGCCGGGAATATATCTCTTCCCTATGTTCAATCATGTTTTCAGCCTGCCCAGGTCATAGAAACGTGATTTATTAAAATTAAAAAGAAAACGTTGGGAATAACCTAATATAGGGATCCAATGCAGGAAAGTATTTACTAACAAACCAAGACAACTCACATTCAAAATACAATCTCTGAATGATGTTAATTGTAAGAGAAGGTTTAACTAATCAATACCTTTGTCGCCTCCATTTCAGCCTTCCTTAGGGCTCTTTCCTCCCTGTGAAAATTCAACTAATGAAATACAGTACACTGGTAAAAACTAAAAAGTTAGGCATAAATTCAGAACATAATAGGATTGAAACCTCTCTTCTTCAACAATTAAAGCAATTTCATCCTCCATTTGCTCAATAGTTTGAGACCACTTAATTACAGATTGTTCTGCAACAATACGGCTCTTCAGCTTTGAACCTACCCTCTTTGCCTGATCAGTTGAAACCAAGATTTAAATCAACAATCAATGAAATCGCATCATATGTGAATATAAAGCTTGCTTTGTGTTATGTCTCGTGAAAATTTAAAGCCTAATAATCAACATCAACATTTTCTTTATAAAAAAAGCCATTCATCTCAGATCTAAAAGCATATCAGCCTGCATAACTATTAGAAAATAATGGATTTTATATGACGTAGCATAGCTATCAAGATATAAAACCCAAAGCAGGCCAAAACATGTACAGCATTTATAAGAATGATACTAACAATTGCTTTTAAAAGTGACCGGTCATTGTCAGTCACAAAAGTGACAGCATATCCTTCTCTGCCAGCTCTTGCAGTACGTCCTACTCGATGAACATAACTACAGTTTGAAATAACATTTTCAAGTCAACTACAGTATGCACAAGTCATAATAATAATCATCAAAAGCAGTGTTACCATCGTGATATACCTGGTAAGATCTCGTGGACATGCAAAGTTGATGACAGTTTGAACACCAATAATGTCTAGGCCCTATTACATGAAACGCATACACAAAGGTGTCAAATAGCAGGTATTTGAAAGGTTAACAAAATTTCGTTCAAAACAAAAACACAAAAAAACAATGCATAAAATGAGAAAAATAGATAGATAGATAGATAAATAAATAGCTTTCAGCAATAGGTTCTTACTCGAGCAGCCACATCAGTAGCAATCAAAAAGTCGACTTGCTCCTTCCTAAACTGATCTAAAGCCTGTACACAAACAACCACAACATTTATCTTAGGGCAATCTTAGCATTACCACTTTCAATTTTCAAACAAGCCAACCTTTCAACAAAGGTAGGCAAAATACAAAAACAATTAGGCGTTGGCAAAATAATAATAATAATAATAAGGCAATTCCAGATAAGCAGTTGTACTTTAGCACCTCAACAACCAATTACTTGATAGTGAAAAAAAATTATAAAGGTCAATTGTGCAACCAAACAAATGGTACAGAACAATCTAAGCATACCTCAAGACGCTGGGCCTGAGTAAGATTTCCATGAAGCTCAGCAGCTTTCAAACCAGCTAATCCAAATATAATCTTCAACCTATGTGCAGCTTGTTTTGTTCCACTGTAAGTCAAAAGACACATTATTAAGCAGCTAAAGATGAGAAGAAGGTCGCAGAATAGAGACAGAAAAAGCGTAGGTAGGGGAGCAAAGCACATGAGAACTTATGCTTATTGTAATCATGAAGCAGGTTTGTTCTTCACTAGAAAGCCATAACTATCAATTTATTGAGTATTTTTATAGGCTAATGGACTAGCAGTGAAAGATTACTATAAACAAT